ACAGATTGTATTTATGCACAATAATAAAATGATCATTTGGTGTGATATTAGATAAATCTCTGTATATAAATTCATATCGCTAAATAATGACACAATTCATCTTCGGGCTGTCATACATCATAGAAAACTCAAATTTCCACACACAAGCCTTAAGTTGAAAAGGGATGCTTATACAGTCTTTCACAGAAATGAGTTGGATACTGAATGGTAACGAGATACTCAGTCTATGATATAATTATAATTTTAATATTTTTTTAAACTACAGATGCTGGTCCTTCAGGATCCATGGAAGTTGTCCTCTGTGTTCCAAGAGGTATATTATTAGGCATGTTATTAGATGATTTATGGAGAAAAATTATTAGTCTGGCAAAAAAGAAGGGATCTGTAAATCCATGCGAGTTATGCTTTTTTTCTAGGTGTGTCACTGTAAGGTACGTTTTCTAAAAGAAGACTCTCCCGGGGTCGCAGAACTGCACAAAATAAAACAAGACAGTTGGTTTATAATAGTTACTCTTCACAATTATCATATCACTACTTCATAACCACAGCATTCTCCATACAGGCATTACCAAGCTTATTTTCTCCAACATGCTCCGCTTGTAGGATGTTTTCCCGCAGGATTGTCTCAACAGCTCTGCTCATCTTAATCATCTGCAGAAAAAGATAAGGAGAGTCATAACAATGTCAAAAGTGACATAAAATGTTTTTACAATTGAGGTGAAACCAGACGTAGAACAAATATCTAAAATTCACAAGATAATCAATAATCATCAAAATAAAATAATCAGACTCCATAAAGATTAGCCAAATAAATTACAGCGTCTATAGTCATTTATTTGTACTGTATGTAGGTGCCATACCTGTTGTATATTTTCTTCTGATGTTTCATTTTTGTTTTTCTTAAATTCTTCATTGATCTTTAATCTGGCAGCTGCGGTTTGAAAAAGAATACTAATGAAAAAGACGGTAACTCCATTTCCCTTGGCAATTAGCTATTTTATTCTTACTACTTGCCACATACTAATGCTTCTGTGTATTCTACTTACAGTATACTAGCAATTACTACTTATTCCCCACACTCCTACCCAATTAACAAATTAACTAATTATTTAAAGATAATGAGTGGGGTTTTGACAAAAGGCTCTGGGAAGATGGAAGACAAAATCTTTTTTATATAGGGTATCAGCTACACAAACAAAAGCTGTACCCATCGAAATACTGACTCAAACGGTATTTACAAGTAACAAGTAATGTACTATTTAATTTGCCATTCTTCCATCATCAATCTGCCTTTGAGCAAAAACATAACTGCAAGTTACATCAAACAAAAACAGCACTGATTAAACTAGGAATTCTTCATTTGATCATTTGATCTATAAAAGTTCCATAAAGGCCAAAACTGAAAATGACAAAATTTCATAGATCACGCTCACAAGCAATTAAGTAAGTAATGACACATAGACAATGTGTGTCTTCTCCACCAGTATTGCCAAATCATGAAAGCACCACACTGAACTTAACATCAGCCAACATCATGGAATGACCCAAAAGCTCGCTTTTACACCACCGCACTTTGACCTAATCAACAAAGGGCAGGCATGGAGGAGGATCTGAGGGCGTAAAGTGCTATTTAAGACAAAGGCATAAACACCTAGTGTGCTATTTACATTTTATCTACCTGTCAAAGCCCAGTCATCATCTTTAAACACAGTCATCCGTGTTCGATGGAGAGCTTTAAATGTTCGAAGCACCTAGAAAAAAATACATATACAGTTTTAAAGAAATCATTTTATACATGTTGCTAGCTACAAATCTGAGTATTGCATAACAAAAGTTATTTTTGCATCTAGGGAGCAGCAGTACAATCATAACCGTTACACCCTATGCAGTGCATTGTGTTTAAGTGTGTGACATTTGGGATAGAGACCATCATCAACAATCCTGTCCATTCAGTGTGTGCACACACAGGCAATGAATAGACACGTGAGTACTAAACTAACACATCCAGCTCCCTGATGTATGTCTCTCCTAAATATGAAGGAAAACTTAAAAAATAATAATAAAATAAAAAACTTAGTATCGTGTAGTATTTATGCTAACTTATTTTGCATATCTTGCTAAATAACTACAGAGATGGTGAAAACAAGAGATACAGTGTTCATGAACATCATGCACAATGCATTTAACAAGTAATAAAACATTTTAACTATAACGATGTGAAACATAAGCTTCATTTTTAGGACAGTGTCCCTAACCTTCAAGCGTGTCCCCATCTTTCCTGCTGTCCTCTCCTCTTCCTCTGGAGTGAAAAGCACTTCAGTCGTTCACTGTTGCAGGGCAGCAGCGCCGCCTGTTGTATTGGAGCATTAATGCCTGGTAGTTATTAACTCATTTCTCTTTTTTTATCTCGTCCAAAGTTAGAATTTTTTTAGCTGAAGGCAGCCGAGGGTCTGTCAATAAAGTCTGCATTGCACACTGTGTATCTTACAAATAAAACGCATAAATAAAACAATAATACACAACAAAAGTCAGTGGGCGGTTTGTACCTCTGTGTCGCGCGCGGACGCTCGCACAAGGTGAAGTATTCATGCAACGTGCGCGTGGCCTCTAGGAGGCGCTGTCACGTGCACCACCCCAGAATTTACATATTTACATGGCGCCAAAAAAACCAAACAAAGCGAGTTCTGTGTTTCATTGTAGGGATAATAAAGAGAAAATAACAAGGGCATAATTTTGTTTTGAAACAGAAGTGCTAGGGAAAAAAGAAGGCTCTAGTGATTCATTATAAACCAAGTGAATTCTCACTGAAAGCATTTCTGAAGTGTTTTAACTCAGGTGTGTGAGGGACTGTGTTTAGCACTTCAGTTTAACTAGTGATTAAATCCACAGTTCTGTTTATCAAGCAATGACTGACGCTTTAGAGCTTTTATTTTTATTGAGCTGCTGTGGTTTACACCTACAGTATGTGTTTAAAGAGAGTTTGTCAGAAGAAAGAGTAAAGTGTGCAATCCTGCAGGATTAAACTGGCCATTATGATGAATTACAACTGTTATTGAGCCTCACACTTTTTATAAAATATTTAGATTAACACAATATCATGACTGTACTTTTATGTAAATAAATCCATACAACAGTATGATCATATCGCCGTCTGTGAAGCAAACATGAAACCCAGGAGAAGAAACTTACTTGTGTTCATTTATACTTGCTGTTCACTGAGGGGAGTTTTATGATAGAAGAGGTTTTGTTGTTGTTGTTGTTGATGATGACAACAACAAAAAACACGTTTTTTTTAACGTGTTTTCAAAAAGCAGTTTGTTGTCTATAGAAGATGGAATATTCTGGATGTGATGAGAGAGATATTTAAGCTAAACTAAGCTTAACCTAACACGGAGCAGGTGTTTCCAAAAGCGTATGTTGTCATAGTAACATAGTGGGGCTTACAAATAGTTTTACTTGTGGAACTTAAACAAAGTCTTTTTATTTCATGGTTTCAGTCCCAGTGGATAAGGCACTGAAGCCAGGGACTGATGAGCCTCTGCCAAAAACAGTCAGTTTTTTGCCCCTGCCACAAGATGGCCAAGACTCCATTTGTTTACAGTCAAGTGTAGTATTATGTCATGTTCGAGGTGAAGTTGTAATTCCCCACCTACAATCGGTAAAAGCCACGGCATACGTCCCTCAACTTGAAATTTCAACTTGTCCACTTGGGGTAGTCTTCTCAACTACCACTTCCTTCCCCGTTTACGGAGTGACGTCAAATCAACATGGCCACGCACTCTGTAAACAATGTAAAGACCGTTCTCTACTATTAAATTAGTTTATAGCAGTTGGGGAGAGCGGGGTGAGTTGAGCCAGTTTTTACTTAAGGTGTCTTTAAAGTAAGGGCATGACAGTAATGTCTTCAACTAAAATATGTACATAAATTTCAGGATGTGGTGCATCCCTGGGAATAATCACTTTGCATCTAAAATAAACAAAATATGACTTTCCAAAAAAAGTGGTCTCTTGGCTCAACTTGCCCCCAATGAAGGGTAAGTTGAGCATAGGGAGAGGATAAGTTGAGCCACATGGGGGTAAATTGTGGCACTGATTATGCTGAAGTAAACATTTTCACCTCATATGCTATATCAAAACAAGACAAATTCAATACCAAATGACTTCTTAAAGGTTTTATTTAAAGATAAAGTTTACAACTTTAAAGGCCAATTTTCTTCAACAAGGCCTATTAAAAAATTTCAGGACAAAATGAAGTTCAAATTGAAGAACAAAATTGACTGTAATTCTCCTCACAGAACCGGGCTACTATTCAACATTCCATTTGTCAATGCTGCAGGGGAATATGAACTTCTGCTCCCTTCTGGCTGTTCCACCGAGTTTTTGCAGTTTGGGTAGTTTCTTGAGCACATCACCTCTAGGGATGTGTCCTTCGTCATTCTCTTTGAATATGAAGGTGGGCTTTCCATCCACAGAACACCGGTGACTTCTCCTCAGAAACTTTGCACTGATGTCAGCACCCTCAACCTTCTCCACCAATCCAATGTAATTATAGGATTTATTTTTACCTGCAAAGTTCACAGTGATGAAGTCACCAGCAGACAGATTCTTATCACCATCATCATCACTCAGGTCATCTTCTGAACTATCATAGCCAGTGGTGTCATTAAGCAAAATGTTTATATCACTTTCTTCTGAGCTACTGTAGGCAACAGTTTTCTAATAGATAAGGCACTGGCCTCCTAAGCCAGGGATTGTGGGTTCGAGTCCCATCTGGGGTGTGGGTTGAGCAGAGTGGCGCAGCGGGAGCGTGCTGGGCCCATAACCCAGAGGTCGATGGATCGAAACCATCCTCTGCTAAGTACTGCCTGCTTTATGCCTCAAACCCAGAAATGGCCACTATTCTGTTGATTTTGAACATAGATAAATAGGAGTCATCCTTCCACGTGAATGAGAGTAAGGCTATGTCCAATGGCATTTGAATTTAGAGCATGTGCCGTTTTCACAGAGTGGCACAGCGGCAGCATGCTGGTCCCATAACCCAGAGGTCGAACGACCGAATCCATCCTCTGTAAAGACCTGTTTGCTCCATGCCACTAACACAAAGATCGCTACGATTCCATTGATTAAGAGTTCAGTTTTGTGTGTCATGCTTCAGAGTGTCTGATAGTAAGGGCTTCTTCAAAGTCTTTTGATTTTAGGGTCTGCGTGTGGATAGCACAGTGGGATAGCGGACAGACGCTGGGTTCGTAACCCAGAGGTTAAGACCTTTCTGCTTCATGCCCCTAACAGAAACATGGCCAAGATGCCTTTTGTTTCCAGCGAAGATGAGTATTAGTGCTATCAGTGCTAGTTGTTTGAGATCAAGGCCTTGGTCCCAGTGGCCTAATGGATAAGGCACTGGCCTCTTAAGGCAGTGACTGTGCTTCACCATGAATGAGAGTAAGGCTTTGTCCAAAGGTTTTTGAATTTAGTGCTTGCAGGAGG